GAGGACTCACAATTACTGCCTATGTGGTTTTAAAAACTCAAGCCACAAAGTTTTCCATATCCTTCATTAGGAACCAGCATTTTGTGAAGTGTCATGGTGTCACTCCCAGGAAAAATGCAGCTCAAATTCCACATGCTGTTCCTCCTGAAAGATGACTGGTCTAAGCTGGTGGAGTGGTCCCTGCATGTTGTTACCTTCATGTTTTGAATTTATTCCTTTATTCAATATTTATTATAGGTAGCAAGCCAGCCTGGCATCATGCAACCTGAGCTCAAATATGGACACATTATTTAACCTCCCTGAGCCTCAGTTTCCTCATCAATAAAGCAATGGTATGAGAGTTCCTATTTTGTGAGGTTGTGATAACTAAAAGGATTCATTTGTAGCCTATGTCTCACACAGTGGAAGCTCTCAAGAGGTGTTAGCTGTTATACAAGGAACACCTCCAGTGTGCCAGGCAGGCCAGGTGCAGGACAACCACTGAGGGGCATCTGAGCAACCCTTATTGTGTCCTGAAGGCCTTCTAGGAGCTTACAGTCTAGAAGGGGGCCATAAGACAGGTAGCTCTGTCACTATATTAGAGGGTAGTAGATCCAAGAGTCTCAAACTTAAGTGAGTATAAGAGGCACTATGCAAATTAAAGAGACATGCAAATTAAAGCCAAAAGTGAGACACCACTTCACACTCATTAGGGTGACTAGAATAAAAAAGGAAGATAATAAATGTTGGTGAACCCTTACACTCTGCTGGTGTCAAATGGTGCAGTCACTGTGGGAAATGTCAGGTAGTTCCTCAAAAATGTAGGCATGGAATTACTGTATGATCCAGCAATTACATTCCCAACCATCTAGCCAGGAGAAACCAAAACATGTGTCCACCCAAAACTTGTACTCAATTGTCCCTACTAGCATTGTTTATGATAGCCTTTATAAGGGTAGGACAATCCAAATGTCCATTCACTGATGGATGGGAAAATGTGTTCTACCATAGTGTGGAATATTATTTGGGCATAAAAAATGAAATATTGATGCACCTACAATGTGGATGAACTATGTAGACATTATGCTAAGTGAAAGCAGTTACAAAGAGCACAAATAGTGTGATTCCACTTACATGAAATGTCCAGAATGAACAAATCTACAGAAACAGTGACTGCCTATGGCTGGGGCAGGGGAATAGGAAGGAACTGGGGGCTGGCAGGTGAAGGGGCTGGAGTTTCTATTTGGAGTAACGTGTTCTACAATTGACTGAGGTGATGGTTACACAAACCTGTAAATCTGGAAAAGTCACTGAACTGAATACTTTCGGTGAATTGTATGGCATATGACATGTCTCAATAAAACTGCATTTTTTAAAAGCAGCAGATAGAGGGTTTGTTAAAAATGCATAGTTTGGGTACCCTTAAGATTTTGATTCAAGCCTGGGTTATATAATGTGCCTTTATTATTATTTTTTTGATCTTCTGTCATATTACCAGTTGAGGCAAACGATTTGGCCAGGGTAAATCATACATGGCATCCTGGTTGAGGTTGTGCTGTCACTGGACCTTGTGAGTTAAGGGAGAGAGATTTTCCAGGAGTAGAGAACAGCACAAATCACGTTCAAGGGTCAGAGTCTCTGAGGGAATTTATGCTCTGTCTCCTCAGGTCTGAATCTCACTGAGGGAAGGAATTGTGTGAAAGAACAACATTTGTCTTCCTATTGACTCTCTTTTTCTTCTTTGACCTGCTGAGTTGCTGCAGTCAAGGTATTTTTAGACTGTTCTCACAAACTAATAAGCCAGGGCAGGAATATGTCGGGGCGGGGGGGGGGGGGTTTGGAGGGAGACCAAGCAGTCGACAGGGGAGTGACAGCAGTTTGTGACAGTCCCTTCTCGCCCAGCTGAGCTCTACAATAGCCTCTGTGTTTGAAACTGTCACTATGTGAGTTAGAAATGGGCCAAGAGGTAGCTATTAACAATCCTAGCAATCCACTGAAGGTTCTGGTTTAATGCCCAAAGGGGTTCTTTGCAGCTGACCCTCACTGTGTGCCTTGCAAAGCCTTTCATGTGAGTTACTCTTCACATGACCTCAGGATCAATGACTTTCCTTTGAAAAGTGGGTGAAATATCAGACACTCAAACAGTTCCCCTACTGAGGCAGGGAAGGGGGAAGGTAATCTGAAGATGTACATCTAATAAATACTATGTGGAACCAATGAAATCCATGGAAGTCGCAGGATGGGCAATCAGGACAGTTTCCAGAAAGAGAAGAAGAAATACAGACCCACTTTGAAGTTACAGAGAAATCCTCATCAGAATAATATTAGCTACAGAGTTGAAGTAAATTCTGAGACATAAAGCCCAGAGTATCCCAGCCCCCACCCCAAATCCTCGGTAACCTGTAGTTCTTTGGGCTACATTGACTGACTCGCCCTGAATTGTCTTGGATTTTCCTGGTTTTCAAACGGAAAGTCCACATGCCAGGAAGCCTCTCAGTCCTGGCAAAATGGGACAGGACCTTACTGGTAGTAAAGGCATCATGTCCTCCGTGCCTCAGAGTAGAGATGACCCAGTAGGACACAGAGAACCAAGGGGTGAGTTTGGTTTTTGAGTTCCAAAGCTGAGGCCTTAGCCCTGAGGCAGGATGGTACTAAGAGTAAGATGATAGAGGCAAGACTTCTCTCTCAGGCCAAAGATTCTGACATGAAGAGGAGGGAAGACCAATACTGTCCAATAGAACTTTCTGGGACGATGGAAGTATTTTACAATAAATGCTGCACTCTTCAGTGAGGTGCTTGAGGTGTGGCTAGTGTAACCAATTTAACATACTGTTTTTTCCAACTTAAACTTGAAAGGCCACACTTGGCTGGCGGCTGCTGTACTGAAGAGCTCAGTCTGAAGTACTCTTGCGACCTCCCCCCTGAACAGAGTACAAAGAAGAAAGGAAGTTGGCTAATGTAAAATCATGGACCCCCTGGATGGGACTGGAAAACCAAGAGCAGAAAGGACTGGGGCCGTATTGCTTGGGTATAGGAAGACTCCAGACATTGATAAGTTATGAGAGTAGAAGAAAACGTATCTATGCAGGGCCTCCCTGGTGGCGCAAGGAGTTGAGCGCAGAGCTGTGAAGCTTGTTGGTAGCCTTTGTAGCACGAGTTCGATCTCCGGCCAGGGGCCTTCCCACATGGCGCAGCAGACCTCCCTGACTCGCCCGCTGCTCCCCTCAGTGTATTTCATCAGTCTGCCTGTTCTGTTCCCTGCTCTGTCTCTGGTGAATCCTCTCACCCTCCCGCGCATCTGACCTGTACCCCAGTTCTTGTATGCATAAATAAATATTTAAAAAGAAAAAAGAAAAAAAAAAGAAAGTGTATCTGTGCAGTGAGTTAAGATAACACAGCTCCAAGGCAGCCTCACAGGAGTTTGCTGGGTCCCAGGGTGACTGTGAAGTAATCCAGATGTGACACATGAAGCTGGGAGATCTGCAGTGCTTGGTGCTTGGGACAGGCAGGAAAGAATAGTGTATTCAGACACTAGTCTGTTTCCTTGTGGGCACATGGTGAGACCTGATCTTCCAGCCTCCACTACAGTTAAGCGAGCTACAGGAATGAGGTCCAGAAACTGGGATGTGGAAATATGTCAGGTGTGCCATGCACTGAATGGGAGGTGGGGTGGGGTGGGGAACAATAAGGAAACAAAGGCATAAATTAGGGTTGAAAATTATGTTTAGAAACGGACATGGATGTGGGTCCTGAAACAGCACTGACTAAACACAAAAGGACGAGAAGAGCTGTACATTTAAGCCAAAGAAACCACAAACTTTAAATCAAAAGAAAAAAAAAAAAACCACGTTGTCAAAGTTGTAAAACCTTGGGAAGCCTCTAAACTTGCTCGGGAAAGAATCAGGGTCCTAAATCTGCAGAACCTCCAAAGAGAGTGGACTTGGGCCTCCCTGGTGGCACAGGAGTTAAAGACAGCACTAGCAAGCTATCACCAGCCACTGCAGCATGAGCTCGATCCCCGGCCAGGGAGCTACCCACATGGTGCAACAGACTTCTCCTGACTCACCCACTGCTCCCCTTAGCAATGTATTTCAGTAGATCCACCCGTTCTGCTCCCCACTCGGTCTCTGGCAAATCCTCTCATCCCCCACACCTTTGGCTTACACCCCAGTTCTTGTAGGCATAAATAAATAAATCTTTTTAAAAAAGAGCAAGCGAGTGAGCTGACTTGTCAGCATCCAGCTGAGAGCAGCCAGGGAGTAGAGCAGCCTGGGAGGACACCAGCCAGACAGGATTTCCCAGACGCCATCATTAGATCCAATCAAGGGTCTTCAGAGCTGCTACAAGCTAGGCCCACTGCTTTTTTCTTTGCTTTGTTGAATGGGTGTTTTAGGTTTGGATCTCCTATTCTTTACTCCACTGATGTGTGGGGCGTGGGGTGAAGTTTTCAAGTTCACAGGTTTCCAGATCACAGGGAGTCACCCTGGCCTTGCTGAAGAGGCTGCACTGCATCCCCGAGAGCCTTGCCTTGAGCTGGCTGCGGCCACTGGACGGTTCGGCCTGTTCAGCCCCTGGGCTGGGGCTGTGCTTCATATGTGGGACAAAATGTGAATTGCTGGCCAGATGGCGAGCAGATGTGTGGACTGTGGCAGTGATGATGTTATGTGGCCAACAAGCCCAGTGTCCTTTTCCTCCTGGTCACCCAACAAGGCTCCATTTCCAGCTTTCTATAACCTGGGGAAGCCACATGACTGAGTTCTGGCCAATGGCATGTGTGGGTAGTGAAGAGAGGTGCACTAGAAGGGCCCATGGGTGGGGTTGAGCCAAGACTTGGGTAAACTGAAGGGACAAGCTGGTAGATGGAAGGGAGAAGGGTCTCTCTGTTCCTACAGACTTAGGTGGCCCTGGGTAAGAGTCAGTCCCACAGATTTTCTAGGTGGTTGTGCAGATGGCGTGCTACACACAGGAGCCTGGCTGACAAGACTGAGTGAAGGCTAAATTCTAGCCCATGCCCCACTCACCTAGCTCCAGGTCCCAGGCTTCACCTTCGTGTGGCAACGTTGCTTACATCTCTGCAGTCAGCACCTCCTCCTTGCCAAGCCAGACACCTGTAGGGCCACTTGCTAGAGGGAGACACAGATTCTTCTCTCCTTTTTCTAATTTACACAGGAGTCCTATGGAGAGAGTGGGGACTGACTGCAGTTCTGACGCGCTGGGGACTGCCACGTCAGACTGCTGGCCAATCCCCACAGTGGCCTTGCTTGTAGTCATGGTGGAAGCATGAGGCTTTGAATTTTCAAATTGCTTCCACTTGAAACAAAAAAAAAAGAAGTATAGCTCATTTTCAAAGAAGTGAAGAGTGATGTTATGCACTTTTTCTTCCCAGTTTCTTCCTACCATTTATGGTTAATAAGAGATCTGAGGTGCTCTGAGTGTTCTGACAGCTCTGAAGACTACCAGGAAGTGCTGAAGATTTGCGCTGCTCTTTGTTATGATCATTTTTCTTCTTGCCTCCTTGATTTCGTATTTCTAGTAAGTCTCCTCATTAAAGCAATATTAAGCAAACTCATAAATATGTATACAGTCCTCTTAATTATCTGTTGATGGATATGGACTCTGATACATTTACATAATGAACTTTTAAAACATGCAGATGTATTTTACAATTAGACCCAGATGGGGGCTGGGGGTGGTGATCTTGGAAGGAAAAACAAGCTTACTCTTGACAATACCGAAGGTACCTGTTTAGAGAAAGCTTGAAGTTTATGGGGGCAAATTTATACTGTGGAGGTGCTCAGTTCCTTCCCGCAGATTTCAGATAAGATTAGGGATGCTGTCAAGTTAGAATCAGGGCCAAGTGAAATGGAATTACATCCTGTCCCAAATGCTGACAGTGAAGCTAATAAATCAGAATAAAGGCAGCAGTCAAAGCTTGGGAGCCAGAATTGGTGCGCCCTATATTACTATGCTCGCTGGTATCTGATATCTGGTTCCCCTGCACTCTGGGCAAATAGGAGGGGCACACTCCCCTACCCTTGAGGTGGGGTGTGGCCATGCAACATGGTCTAGCCAATGAAAAGGAGCAGGCATGATATTTGCCCCTTAGTGTTGCTTTGCAAGTTGCTAGGCTTTCATCTGCTGTGAGTCTGGGATTATCCTAAATGATAGAGCTTTTGTCAGCCTGAGCCTTAGAATGGGGAAGCCAGTGTCAATACACTCTGGCTGCTTTAATTTGATATTCAGAATAAGTAAATGCATCTGGTCCATATTTAGGACTATCATGAGGGTAAGGGGTGATCTGATAAGTTCATTCTGTTAAAATAAAAATTAAACTCCCATAGGTAAAAATTGTGATATAAATCCTTATTTGTTAATAATATCCTGACAGAGGGGAAAAAATCGGACACTGGTGATACCAAAAGAGTCCTGAAAGAGATTAGCTTTCATCTCCTTCTGTCTATACTGGCATCCACTACATGCTCTCCTTACCATCACCGCCCTTCCTGAGCCTCCTCAGGTGGTCACCTGCCTCTGCTCAGCCACCTGGCTCAGCTGTGTCTCTGGGCGAGTCTGAATACCAGGGATTCCACCAGGCTTATTCCATGCTTGCTCCTTCCCCGCACCCTGGAAACCAGGGGCAGATCTCTCGGTTTCTTTGTTCCCCCAAACCCACCTGAGGTTTCTATTGTTTCTCTCCCAGGAACAGGGCTAGGGATAATGAGTCAGAAAGCAGAATCCCTTCTCAAGGACACAGATATTTTAGGTCTCATGCTCCCCCTGCATCCTTCCTGTGCTCACAGGACCTTCATGTATCTGGAGTGGGGAAAACGGGTTGTGACTGATCACATATCTCTCCCAAACGACATGGCATAAACTGTGTGCCCTGCATCCTTCAAGGCTGTGGTTCAAATTTGTAGACAGTAAAAGTCAAGATTCTGATGATTTTACTTCCTGTTTCTTTCTCACATTCCTTTTTTGAAACAGTAAACAGAACAATCTATCTGGGTTCTGAACAGGAAGAATATTCTGGAGGTAACAGCAGTCTCTGCAAAATATCGTTAAATTACAGTCATACTCAGCTGTACCCAGTGCATGTATAAACAAAACAAACAAACAAATAAATAAATAATACATGTCTCTAAAAAAAAAAAAAGATTTAAAAAAAAAATTACAAGTCATACTCAGATGCTACAGAGTGTAGATTTATTCTAGCAGCAAGGTGGGAGAAAGTGATGGGTTTGAGGATGGACTGGAGGGGAGAAGTCTGGATATAGGTGCCTGCTTTTAGAAGTCAAGGAAATAGTCCAGGCAAGAGACGATTACAGTGGGACTGGAGAGAGACAAGAGTTCTGAGATGTATAGGACTTAGTGTCCACAAGAATTGTTGATCTTTTGTATGTGGTGAGTAAGGGTGGGTGGGAATCTGGGGTGTTTCTCAAGCTTATAGCTTAGGTGACTAAACAGATAAGTTGTCACTCATCAAAAAAAAAAAAATGGAGCAGAGAAAATAGGTTTGGGTGGTAAACTCTGCAAAAAAAAAAAAAGAGGTTAATTCATGTAACAGAGAGAACGTGGGCTCTCTAGTGCATGCATCACCACAAATGTCATGGCTCAACACAATACACCTTCTTAAATACACCTTCTTAAAGTTTCTGTGGGTTAGGGATCTAGGCATAGCTTAGTCTGCTTCTGAACTTCAGGATCTCTCATAGGTTGCAATCAAAGTGTTGAACAGGGCTGAGATCTCATCTTAAGGCTCAACTGGGGAAAGATCAGCTTCCAAGTTCATTTAAATGATTAGTAGTAGGATTAAGTTCCTTTAGTGTTGTTGGACAGAGGTTTTCCTCAGTTCTTTGCCATGTGTGCTTACTCCAAAAGGAAACTTGCTTCATCAAAGCTAGCAAGGCAAAGAGAGCTGACTAGTAGGGTGATAGTTACCCTATTAGTTATCCCTTGTAACCTAATTCTGGAAACATTCCATCACAATTGCCACATGCAATTCATTACAAGCAAGTTACCCAGCTACACTCAAGGGAATTTAATTGTGCAAGGGCATAGTTAACAGTGGACGGGATTATTCAGGGCCATCTTAGAGCCAGCTCCCACAATCAGATAGAATAAAAATGGAATTCTCCCTTTGCCACTCACTAGGCAGTAACTTCGAATATGTCTTTTGACTACTCTAAAGTTGTTTCCTCATCTAAAAAATAGAGATGTTCCTACTTGTCTCATCTGATGGCTGCAGGATGAAGACAATATAGGCAACATACCTATCACATTTTCTTCCCCTCTGCCATGCTGATAAACAAATTTCCAAATGATTCCTTCTATGCTAGCCTGGGTCTCAGTGAGGACATTGGTAGTGAGTTTGACCTGTCCCCACCTCAGTTGACAACACCGGTGAGACATGAGCCACTGGGAATTTGAAGCAAAATCTAGTCTAGCCTGACAAAACACCTCTGCCCCCACATGGGTCCACATGTACTGATTCATTGTCAGTTGCTTTACCTTGAGCGGCGACTGCATTTCAAGCCCCCCACCAGCTGTTTTTCACAGCGGCTTCATTTCCTAATACTGTCACTTTGTGCTACAGACAAAAAAGATCTTGGTCTAAGTTATTGTTTGCCTAAAGGCCCAATTTGGGCTGTGGTAAGAGAGGATGTCTTAGACAAAGGCTGTCATTTCCCTGCCTTTGAGGGACCCTACTCCAGCAGGCTGAGTAATTTGCTAGAAACTTCAAGTATGGGGAGGGGATGAAATATCACCAGCAAGCAGAAAATATGCTCACATGGCTTCTTGTGTGTCTGGCAAGATTTTTAATAATTTCTAAAGAAACCAGTGACTGATGTTAGCCATATGGAATGGTTAAAACATGGGGTAACACAATAATACAGTTGGATCATCTTTCTTTAATTGTCTGTAAAATGGCATATAATTTGTAAACCAAAAATGGTGCTTAAAGCAACAATCATGGCAAGTTCTTCATTTGAAATTTTTCTCGAATTTTTCCCAAAAAGATTAAAAATGGATGGCACTCTTTAAAATTCTTCATTTTTAATGGCATTCCTTAAAGGACTGCTGCAGTGGCAATTATTTTCTTATAAACAATCCTCTGCCTCCTATTGATTACAGGACTCCCGACCCCTCCTAGGCTCCATATTATACAGGACTGTCTTCCTCCTAGAGCTTCAGGGGTCCTATTTGGTCATCATTTCAGTAGGTGTGCCCTACTGAATACATGGGACAGTGCATCTGGGGTCTTAATATAGATTTCCTAGAAGGTAGCATTTTTCACCTGTTTTATAAAGACTTAGAGATAAGAATAAAACCAGCATACACAATGGGAGGAAACATATAAAGTGAAGCAATAGTTAAAAAAATAGGCGGTATACAAATAACACATGGTTTTAGATACAGTGTGATTCTGGCACTAATTACCCATCCCTTCCTGAATTCAATGGGGACAGATTCCCTCCAGGAAGACCTAGAGTCAGTTTCATTCTTGGTCTTGCTCCAGCAGCTCTTCTTTTATGGTCCTGGTCTATTTCCCTGACTCTTTGCAGGCACTTCTGCATTCCACAGTGGCCCAAGTTCAACACCATGAGAATCTGGATGCACACTTATCTGGATCAGTGCTGCTGGGATAACTACTGTCTTTCTCTGTAGAGGTTCATAGTTTAGATTTTAACGCAGCACAGTTAGAAAGTTTCAATCTCAAGAACTGAAACAGATTTTCTACTGTTTGGCTCCTTTTATTCCTACTGTCTGAATCAGTGGGGTCCATGAAATTATGGCAATATACTCTAGCAATTGCAAACACCCTCTATACTAGGACTTCTCCCACTTCAGTGTACTTAAGGCTCACCAGGGTGCTTGTTAAAAATACAGATTCCTAGATTCCACTTCAGACGACAGAGTAAGAATACCTGAGTGTGGAGTTCAGAATTGTAATTTTTAAAACAAGCGTTTGAGATGATTCTAAGGCTATTGTTCAGACAACCCCCTCTGTGAAAAACAGTACTTATAAGGTGCCCTTCTCTGTGATGAAAAAGATTCTA